CTCTCTCTCTCTCTCTCTCTCTCTCTCTCTCTCTCTCTCTCTCTCTCGTTTGACCTTTTCAGTCGATCGATTACACTGCATGAAATATTTACAAGTGGTTTCTTTTCATGTCATGCCAAAAGTACATACACACGCTAAACTAAGCCAAACCAAACCGAAAACGAGCTGAAAAAAAGGTGAAGAAAAAAAAATACGTTTGATGAAAGATTTTGAATGATATCCAAATCAATGTTATTGCTATCGGTTAACCCAAAATGCACACGAATTCAAACAAGATGATGTTAATTTGGTGGTACGCAGAAAAAAATTGCTGATTTTTAACGATATCATATTGAATTGGATTTGTGGCTTCTATGTGCTGCATACACCCACTTGAAGAGATACTTCACAGAAAATGGTACGACTATTGTTGATCATCTCTCTCTCCCTTCTCGCCGATAAGTGCGGCTGTAAAGAAGGGAATTTTTTTTAAATCGGTAGCCAAAATCAACAACAGTATCAAGAAGGACTTTGGAATAAATATCTCAATCTTGGCTCATTTTTCATGCATTCTCCCCAATTCTTCCCTCTTTGTCGAGTGAAATGTTCTCATTAAATGGGTATCAATTCGATTGAAAATGAAAGCAATTTTTCTAGTGCTTCTCTCAATTAACTAAATGCAAACGATACACATGCAAAGACGAAAAAAAACCACAGAAAGAAAGAGCCTCGACAAAAAGAGAGGAAAAACCAACATGAAAACCAATCGGTTTAAGCAATAACAACATAATGAGCTACTAAACTGAACTGAAGAAAAGATAATCGATTGGATTTCATTATCTGCTATATACTGAAAAGCACAAACCATACAAGAGTGAAACGAAAATCCCATTCAAAAGCGAACGGAATCAAGCCAAAAGGCAAAAACAACTCAAGCGAAGCGGCTACAATATAATTAGATACATTTGAATCATTCTCGTCCTGAAAACCACTTGAGAATGGAGAGAGAAGAAAGCAAACAAAATAAATGTGTGAGTGTGTTATTTTAAGCAATTTTAAAATGTTCATTATCAATTATGGTATTCGGTAGTGAGTTGTAGGCGCATCAAGGATTACAGCTACCTACGATCTTTACACATGCACCCGAATACGGTGCATTTGTTTGTTAGCTACAATTTCTTCTCTCGTCTCTCTGTTTTGTCTCACATTTGAAACCGAATACTTTTGTGAATGGACTCACTTCGAATGGTAAAAGTTATTCGATCAAATTGATCAAAACGTCTGCAAATGTAGCTTATATGTTTTGATATCGGTGGATTTCTACCAAAAAAAAAAATTGCTGTGTTGTGTAAATTGTAATGTCATATTTTTCAACTTGTATTTGTCTATTTATTTAGTCGAGGGAAGTGCCACAGGCCGAATATTCCTTTTCAGTCGAAGGATATTTCTTTCCATCGATTACGTAGTGTCGTGGGAATGTTTCGTTTCTTGTGTAACATTATGCCAAAATCATTTGCTTGATCCATATTTTTCAATCACATGTCATAGAGTCTTTTTCTCTCTTGATTCATTTCTTATGTTTGTTTTACAATCTTCAATGAATACAACTTTTTCGTTGGTAAATTTTCGGTTACGTTTGTGTCCTCGGTTTTATTTACATGAAATTGAAGCCAATGTTTGCGTTTGGTTTTCAATTGTCGACACCGTCGAAGGCGCTTACAATGTGTTTTTTTTTCTTCTGTTTCGTGAGACAAATATCCCAAATGTGAATGGAAAACATGAATGGACCACACAAAAATACCACTTGATAATCGGCGGTGGGACAACAAATCTGTTTTTTTTTTCTCGAACTTTTCGGAAAAAGATGAATCGAAAGCCAAAAGTAATAAATTTTTGACTGTAAATATTTGCTAATCGTACGGGAAAATGTCAATTTTATGCAAATTTCCAAGGAATTTTGATAGAAACATTTCAAAATTGTGTCAATATTGACAACTTTGTTCATTTTCACTTTGGACAAAATGACAAAACTCTAATCAAATACAACAATGCGCCGATCTATTGTGATCGTTGTTCCCATTCCCAAGTTGGTTTGCCAAATGATTTCAATCGATCGGTTTCTTCTTTTTTTTCTCAAGCGAAAGGAGGCTAAGATTTGCTAAGGAGCTCTCTTGAGGCTAAGATTTGTGATTGTCTCTATTTTAAATTGGCCAAAATCCATTAATTTTGTTGGAGAAAAAGAAAATCTAATAGAAAGAAAGAAGTTGATAATTTCTAGGCCATTCACAACAAAAGATGTTCAAATAGTTAGGTCCAAAGCAACAGAAGATACTTGTTGCTCAAATGTAAATAACACAAACACACCCGCAAAGCGGTTGTCATCTGTCACAATGTCTTAAGAGCTAAAAACACCAGCAAGCATACAATTTCTTACGGTGACAAAAAAAAACCTTTCGAATGCGTACATTTTTTTTGGCTCTCCATCGTGTTGCGTTTGGAATACATCATCAATGATTTGGAATCTTTGTAAATATTTACGAATTGAGACACTTATTGTTGTTGCTCCTCTCATCTGATTTTGGTTGATATTTTGTGGCCTTTGCTTCTCCCACCGGGCAAATAGGTAGGAAATATCAATGAGATCTTATGTGACGATAGAGAGGAGAAAAAAAAACTAGATCTTGATATTTATTTAGCGTTTTCTCTAAAATTCAATGTAAACACTTCCAACATCTATTTTTTTTGTTTTAAGGGCAAATTTTTTTTCCCGAAGATGTCTTTTACTTGTTTCAAACGTCAATGAGATAGAGAAAGAGAAAAAAAGAAGGTGCTCTTTATTTCTATTGATTCATTTCCACTTACGCCATTGCGTAAACGAACCGACAACACACAGTCGCTTTACCGGAGACAAACAATTCCGAAATACCAATCAATTCGAATACTGTATACAGCGAATGGGTATGTTGTGTTACGCGGATCGTCTCAAAAAATTTGACAAATAAAACACAACAACACCAGCGAAAAAAAAAACAAAAGAAAAATCTAGTGGCTATGTCAACAGAGAAAGAGATTTCAAGTGATTTTCACTTCATCATGTGAAAATGTGAGAAGTATATTTTCCGTCGTGATTCGGGCGGTGTGCTTCGACATTGTCTGAATACATCTTTAGCTCATTACAGTATCAAGTTTCAAGCGCGAAACGGAAATGATTGCATTTTCAAGTGCGTTTTTTTTTTCAAATAGGTAGTAGGCGTCATTAACATACCCAATTGAATGCACTGTTGCGCGCTTGAACACAGGAACTGAAATTTCATCCAAGCACTATTCCAAATCGGTGATGTGCAATAACAAAAACAACACAAAAATTACACCATGATGACATTCCGGCCACAATTGCTCGATTTTCACGAGCCAAGGTAACAAAATGTGGCTGAAGTGTTATGGAAGAGTGGCTGTGCCGTTTGTGGCATGAATCAGCAGTGATGATAATAATTCATCAGCCGAAATGCGGTGGTTGGCTGGTGCGCACTCATGAGTTGCGGCTCTCACACAAAATGTGACCACTGCTACTTATTATAAATAATGTTTACGTATTTGGATAGTGATTTCAATGTGTATTTCCTATTGTCAAGTAGTCCTTCTCTCTCTCTCTCTCTCTCTTCTGGATACCCACGATGCTATGCACCATTGCGATGAGAATGCCAAAAACGTGTTTAAATGGTGTGTTTCAACAGCGTTATTAACTGTTTCTTAAGCATTTCGATATTTTTTAAAGCACACTTCAACCTCTAATATTAGTCTTACACTTTACACGGGCATTTAAATTTATTCAAATGTGCTTATCGGCATGTTGACTTTTGGTTCTCCGCCTCGATTTGTAAAAGGCCCCGTGGCTGTCATCGTCGTCGCCAGTTCGTTGTTTCTATTGTCGTTTTTTGCTCTTCAGTTTTCCTCTCGCTCACTCTGTCTTATGCTCGAAAACCTTTCGAAACGAATGTGTCCAAACGGCTGCTGTGGAAAACGTCCTTTCAACAACAAGAAACAACGTTCAAACATTCCAAATATCAGATACAAACGCAATGACGATGAAACAAGCGCACACAGAAAACAACAAAAATTACCTCAAAGCAACATCACACAAAAGTGGCACAAATTTTGTGGACTTTTTTTGGTTATTCTCCTCGATTTTTTTTTCTTTTCGCCTCGCACATAAATGAAATGCTTCTCGTAACGCCTATCAACAGTCGAAGATGAGCTTAAATTCAACAGAGAGGGAAAAAGAAATACATTAATTTTTATACTGTCGGAAACACTAAAAATTCAAATTTATGATAATTAAACTTTTCCTTAGTTCGAGTGCCCATGCGTCACTCTGTACAAATAATAAAAGAATATTTTGTTCATTTTTATATGAATGGAAGTGAAAAAAAAGCGCGCGCATTTCGAAGGCGAAAACAATGTGAAAACTTTTATTTTTATGTGCCAACTGTATTTTTTCGCTTAACTTCATTTCCAAGGATTTTCCTCGCACATTACATGCACCGTCATTCCAATGGCAGTGGAAAATGGCAAAATAGTATGCGGAAAATGTGTGGAACTGTTTGAACAACAGCAGGAAAAAAAAGAACCGAAGTTATAAAACGGTCATTTAAAAGATATAATTTTTTTTTGAAAAAGAGATTTAATAAAGAGGACATAAGCATCCAATAACTTCCCCTTTTTTTATTGAGCCACGAGAGAATGTATGCAACCAGAGAGAGAGAGAGAGAGAGAGAGAGAGAGAGAGAGAGAGAGAGCAACAATAAAAAAACTATACACACAATATGAAATCGTAATTTAAATTACAGCTGCAGATGTTTTAATAAAATATCTCTTTTGATAATAATAATTCAATGAATGTGGTTCAGACATGCCATGAATACATTTAGTACAAATACAGTGACAAATTCGAGTTCACGATCTTGTTCACGTTTCGTTCACCACTACCACAAGCAAAAGAGTGAGAGAAGGGAACATAGACACTCGAAATTCAAAAATGAATTGAATCGAATAGAATGCTATCGTAAATAAAATACACACAATTGCTTCGAACAAGGCACATCCAGAACAAAAAGCATCGCACCGCGCCACCGTTCACCAAACTGAATTTCACATTTCGGCTCGGGCCGACCAAAAACACCCAACCATTGGCGTTTCCATGCGGAATGTTGAGATGAATAATTTCATGTGGTTTTTTCTCTCCCTCTCTCTCTCTCTCTCTCTCTAGTTTGATTCTCTTGATCTGAAACAACGTCACACTACTGTGTCGCATTGTCATCATTTTATGTACAAAAGCTAAAATTGTAGTGGCTTCCAGTTTAGACGAATCGAGTGAGTGAATGTGTGTGGTGTGTACATGTACATGGCAATGGCAAAGGAATGAATGCAATTTAGAATTGGACATTAAACAATAATAGAGATGGATACAAACATTTCGCAATAAAGCCAACGCAAATGTAATAAACCAATTCGAAATGAATAAATGAATGTGATGGGGAATTCTGAATGAGCGGAACTGAAACGAGATTATGAATTTCAATTTTATGTTTCGACCGCAGTGTATTACATTGTACTCGTTTTGATAAATATGGCTGAAATGCCAACAACAATTCGCCAAGCACACAATGTCATATCTCTCAATTTCTAATCCAAAATAGAGTTGTGCTGTGATGGGCCAAGGTTTTCATTGAATGTTATTTGTCAGAAACATGCATACATGCGGATTTTGTCACATTAAGTTTTCATTTTAATGGAGAAAACGTCCATGAAACGTCGTTTAGGCCTTTCTATTGTCAAATGGGCATAAATGACATCTGACATGACTTGATAGAATTGAATGAAAAGTCGTACAATTTTAAAATCGCATTTATCTTTTATCAAACTATTTTCGACGAGTGATTTATATTCCAATAATATCTAATGTAAATACATTATTTTTTTTTTTTCGTTTCGTAGGCACAAAACGTCAACGGATATCGACTGAAACTGATCATGATACTGGTTCCGAGTCATCGCCAAGCAGTCCACGATTGAAAAATACATCATTTAATATGCCAATAGCTAGTTCACCGAACCAAAATGGACGGCCGAGTTCGCCAGAGTCCGATTTGGATGTGGATTCGGCCCCTGATGAGGCAACGCCGGAAAACTTGAGTTTGAAAAAAGATGACTCAACATCACCGCCAAACACTCCAATCGAGAATCCAAATATGATGCGTCACATGCATGTGAATGGAGGCCAAAATGCCGGTTTTCTGCCATATCATCAAGCGTCACACCAATTTATGGGCGCAATGACTACACAACGATCACCGATCGATGTTTTGTTACGGTAAGTGCATCCTGCATTATTGCGCCAGTTTTTTTTTCTCCTGCTTTCCAAACCATGGAGAGGAAACGAAATAGAGAGAACAAAAAATATATAAACGATTAGAACTAAACGAAAAAGAATATCTGGCTTGTATGAATGCATGGTATTAAATTTGTTTTGATGCTTGTTTTTATAGAGTGTTTCCGACTCGACGACGAAGCGAAGTTGAGACTCTTTTGCAAAAATACCGTGGCGATGTGGTACAAGCGATGGAAGCAATGTTAACCGGTGATGATTCGATGGCTCCCATTGCTGTGCCAGCACCATCACCACCATTTTCCATGAAATCAGCCTTCTCACCATTGGTCCCGCCGGGTGTGTTCAATCCAGCTGCGGCCAATCGATATGCATTGTTCCAACAGCAGCAGCAACAGCATACGAAACGTAAGTGATTTTTTGTACAATTCAACGGAAAATATTGTCAACCGAACTGGAACCATTTCGAATTTATTCAAATAAAACCCCATTAAAGGACATTTAAATTTATTGTCAATAGGTTTTCTAGCCGCACCATACTCAGGAACGGGCTACTTATCAACGATCATTCAATCGGAAAATGATCAAATGGAAGCCAATGGCAACGGTGACCGATGCGGCAGCGCTGGCGAATCACAAGAATGATACGAAAAATTATAGTGATACATACGTTAAACGTTTTGACCTGATTCCACACATGAACGAAAATAATGGGACGCATTGTTCGTTCTTCTCTGCGCACTGAAAGAAGAAGAAGAAGTGACAAAATGGTCAATCAAAACTCAACCGAGAGAAGTGACAACAGCAACTGCATTGGAAAATGATATAAATTTAATTCGCTTTAAGATGACTTCAAATCAAATCTTTGTATTAAACACATCCCAACACAAGAGCCAAATCAAATGCTATGATATTGTTCTCCAATCACAGCATATTCAATAGAATTAAAATGACATCTCTTCATTTTCTCTTCCAGTAAAAAAAAAAGGTTTGCTTTCCAACAAAAGCTAAGAAAAAAAAAGAGATTTGAATCGCAACGTGAGTATTGTACAATTTATGGAAGAAGAAAAATATTTCGTATGAAATATGATCTATATATATATATATATTATACATGTTTCCAATATGTTAAGCAATATACTCAACCTCTTTCTTGCCCAATGTCGAAACCGTATTTACTGAAAAGGTTATCGATACAACTTTTATTCTTTCCCTTTGAAATTGGTCTAAAATATTATTATACTTTTTAATGCCTATATTTAGAGAGCTTTATCTTTATCGATGACTAATATGTGAGCGCGTTTAAAGTGTATTCGATTGAAAATGAGCGGCGAAGAAAACAAAAACGAGAAATAACAGTAATTCTTTAGATGTCATTTATTCAGTGGAATCATGTACCATACACACACAATTATTCTATAAGTTTCAGTTAGAAACCAACTCACCACTAACTAAAGCAGCCACTGAAAACTTAAAATTTGAATGGCAAACAGCAACAAAATGAAATACATAAAAAAATAAATAAATTATACAAACTATATGAAAACAAAAAACAAATATTTTAGTTGTAGCAAACAAACAAGTAAATGCATACCCGACTCCAATGGCATCATATGTATACGATTTAATTTTAAATTGAAATAAAACCAATATGAATTAAGTGAAATCTTCCGGTTGTTTCATTTTTGATTACATTTCAGCTGCTGAACATCAACATGAAAATATTTCGATATTCTCATGAAATGATCCTGTCATCGTCTATAGTTTTGCGGAACTAGAGGTAAATGTGTTCGTTAATTTTTGTTTCATTTTAAAGTGACGATATTATTTGATGTTTTCATTTTGATTTAATGAAGAAATCAAAAATGGTGGAAAAGTTGATAAATTTTGATGTTTTTATTTCGATCCGTTCAATTAATTGTGAGGAATTCCTGTTTCTATGGTCTTTAAAAAAACGAACGATTTTTAACTCATAAACTCCGAAAAGTAGGATGAAAATGAATGCCGTATATCAGTGAAGGCAAAGTGTGCGTTGCCATCAAGACTGCACGATATGGAATCAAATAAAAGATAGAAAAAAGCGCGAATTGTTCACCCTATTCGAAATCCACCCTTCCAAATAAATCATCCACAGTCACATTTATATATTCTTTTATTATGCGCCTCTTTCTTTTCATCGTTCGCAATATGTACGAAATTAATAACGAAATTGTAACACAGTCGATGCAAACAAATAAGCCCTCTGATCAATTCTTCTTAAAGTTTATCATTGATCCGAGATTATTAAAATTAAATTATATGTATGTATACATGAGTTTCCTCATACCACCTATTACCATACCATTAAATTCACCATTGAGTGTATTTTTACTGGTTACATTCGTGTGACCCTATTTTTCATGCAAGTATTCAAATAATTTCTTTATCGTTGGTTTGGATGCGCGTGTGTAACCAAAACCAAAATGTAAATAAAATAATTCCCGGTGACAAGCAACAACTTGAACATGACTACGATGTGGCCCTAGCGCATTAACTCTAATATTATCCACTTACCCGTTTGTATCGAGCAATTTCGGAATATATGGTCAAAATAGAAGAACATGCTACATGCATACGGAAGAAAAATTAATGTATTAATAAAGCGATGCGATTTCAACCGGATATTTTTTGTCTTCTATGTTGCTATCGAAAGAGGTGTAAGTCGGTCATTAAATGACAAACAATATTATATGCAGTTTGTTGACTAATCCTTGTGTTCAATTTTCAAGAGATGATCAATTTTACAAATTTTTCTAAACTAAAAGGATTTTAAATTTGAAGGATATTTAATAACAATTTCCAATCAACGAATGAATTTCCATTGCAAAAATTTGCAAATGAAATGGATTGAAAGTTGATTTTTAATAGGACAGGTAGATTCACAACGGCGAAAAAAGAGAATCGCATTCTTCGTAACACTTGAAAAATTGATTTTTCTTTCTGCGTATTTTCTATAGAATTTGTGTGCGTGTGTATACACTTGGAATTCCAATGTGAAGTGGATCAAAAGAAGAGGTCGAATGCTAAAAAATAGGGTTAATTTTTGTTACGCTGTTCATTGTGCAGACACTGAATTGCCTATCAACAATGTTTCATTGATTCGTACACATTTTGATTCGATGCTGTCTGACATCATTCGCTTTCATTGCATCCACTCGCTCGTTTGCATCACTCTCTATTTATCGCGTACTTGGACGCATTCCACATTTAACCGCTTTTCATATCAGCAACAAATTCCAAAATGGGAAATTCTTGGGCGTACGGAGCTGGATGAGCCGAGCGAATGAGCGTGAGTGCGTGCGCGTTCTTCGAAAATATCTGTGGGTGACATATCTAACACTATGGAAAATATATGCGTGTACACAGTTTAAAACAGGCGATGATGGGACAGTAACAATATTACCAGAAGCAGCAACAATATAAAATACGTTTCAAATCGCGTTCGACTTCAATTCGATTGTTATTTACTGCTACTATCTCTCTCTCTCTCTCTCTCTACTCATTCATCCCGTTTTTGGCTTTACGTTCATTTTGACTCCCTTCACATTGAACCGATATATATTGGTACGCCATGAGTTGAGCCGTGCTCATGATGCGATGACTAAAATTCATTTACAGAGACACAAAAGTCGAAATAAAATATGCAGACATACCGCGTCGAAATTGGAAAGTATTGCATATGTTTTTATTTTTATTTTTATTTGAAAAATACACACACACACACACAAAGTATATTGTATATCATCACAGACAACCGAGAATGTGTCGCATTGTCATGCGATTACAACAGTGCCGAGTGCGGAGAATAAAACTGAAATAAAAACAAAACAAAACAGAGCGAAAAATAAAATCAGAAAAATTCCAGTTTAATTCCTTGAACTGGTGGGCACATTTCAAAATTCAATGAAAGAGAACATGCTCTACGGATTAAACTGAAATTGCTGGCTGACTGGTTGGTGACTGTGGCGGTGGTGGTAGTGAAGTTCTATTGTAATTGATTAGCATTTGAATTCAGACAAAAGAGATGCGTCCAATAAACAATATTCGCATTCGCATTCGCATTCGGTACAAAAGTCGAAAATAGAAATATTTATGAACTTTTAATCCGTTTATTATTAATTCGAAAGTGGCAGCCAACGTATCCCGGCCATGAAAGTAACCATTCCAATTCTTTCGATATCAACTAATGACTGACTCAATGCAATGTTTTATTGTGGCATATTTCCTTTGACTGACTGGCTGGCTGGTTGGTTGACTGGTTTCGTTGCAGTATGCGCTTCGCTCAATTTGTTCGTTTGATATTTTCCGTGGCCCATGACAGTCGCGCACTTGAACAACGTGCACAACAAAAGAGAGATTAATCTTTTGGGTGAGCTTAAGTTTAATTTGATGTTTTGAATTATGGTGAACGGCAATTGGCAACAATAACACCGATTTGTCGAGTCGCTTCACGTCGATGCGTGGCGTGCGTGCATGCATGTGTGTGTTCTTCGGTGTACCATCTTCACCCGCAAACCATTTCTGCATGTTGAATGATTTATCGCCCGAATGTAGGAGAGTCAGAGAATGGCCAACATTCTTGAAATTCAATTAAAATCATGATTGTGAATGTGATATTTTGTATTCGACAAACAATGGCCATAAATTTCATTTAAATGCCAATATAATCATTTCCATCCAGTTTTGTATTCATTGTCTTGTTGCCGAACCGAAATTAATTCCGTAAACCGAATCTCATTTTAATGTATCCAATTGTTTTCACATTTGCACTGTGCCATTCACCGTGTTATGACGGCAGACATTGAATAAAATCGTCTCGAGTCGACTTAATTAAAATAAAAGATGCGAGAGAGAGAGAGAGAGAGAGAGAGGCCACCACGTCTAGTTTGGCCGTGTTTCGTCAAAGTAGCTTTTTGAGTAATGAAAATAGACTCTTTTGCTAGATCATCCAAGGGTTGTTCGCTCTTGGCTCTTAGACAATCAAGTGTAAAAATGTCTTTCACAATGGTCGAGACATTTCAAGAATATCTTCAAATCCAACATCTTTTCTCCTCTTGTTAAGACCATACAGAACAAAATCTTCCCGCTCTCTCTCTTTCGATTCTCTCCAGCAAATTGATTCACTCGAATGAAATACACCGAATTTCTCAGGTATTTGAATTTCAATATTTTCTGCCATCGTTGGCCCAGCCTACATTTTTCATCGTCTTTTTCGACGTAATCTATGTATGTGGTGCCATTTTAACCTCTTTTTTTCTCTTTCTGTTGTGCACCGTTTAAACTCCATACTTCACTTAAAATTGTTGAGCAATAAATAGTGTAGTTGAATTGAGTTTATGTACTCGGTGAAATAATATACAAAGAAACAAAGGGACTCAAGAACAAAACAAACATTCACTATTCAACCATAAAAAGGATTGACAAACAATATCCATATGTGCCATTTTTTCAACAGCAACAGCAAAAAAAAGGAGTTACGTTTCGAATGCCAAACCGAACATGCCACAGAATAGATCACATTTGATGCATTCAATTTATTATTTAAAACCATGATGCTTGTTTAAATTCATCATAAATTGTACGGCAACAAGAGAGCAAGCCAATGCACTCTTTACACTGCGTATTACAAATGGACAACAATATAGCAATGAAAGGACACAATTGAAGTATACAGACACAATCAGCCCGAAGATAGCTCAATCAAAAGTCGCCATATTAAATTAGTCTTAATTATTTGCGAATGCCGTTTTAGTTAGATGTTATTTTTCCTCAAGCTTCAACTCCTATACGTTGCGTCGCATGACTGGTTCGATGGCAAAACATTTTTTTTAAAATACAATGCTTATTGAATTTTATTAACGGAGCGTATGTTGATGATGGGTAGAGGGGAGATAAGGAAAAATAACGATTCATTACTGTGCAAGCAGATTACAGATAAATGATCTAATTGTTAGCACAATTGAGCGATGTGTTTTTTGATTCGGTCGAAATACTCTTTTTTTCAGCATCTCGTTAAAAAAAATGATCGCATCACATTCATGTAATGATCTATGTTTCACATAACATATTTTTTGGGGCATTTTTTTTTCATTCATTCGAAATTTTTATCGTTATCTTTATTCCAGTTTTATTCATAGTTATCATCTTCTGTGAAAATTTTATTCTCAACCACCGAATGAATTCAATTTTATGGGAAAGAATTTCGAATTTTCGTGGAATATTTGGTTTTCCGATGAATTTAGTTGTCAATCAAAAAAAGCACATGCGAAATACAATAAGAAAAACTCACAATTGCACAAATCAAATGAAAATTCATTGGAAAACACTTTAATATCCAATTCAATCAAAATTATGATGTAATACAGTTTTTTTTTTCGTTGATCAATTTTCAACAATTGATTTTGTGTAATGATCTAAAAATAAAGCATGCCCTTTTCAAACCACTCACCTATGTGCAAACCACTCACCTATTAAGTGTGCACCACCATTGTTTTGTGTGCGAAGAAGGAATAGAAAAAAAATTCAACAGCGTATATATATTTTCGGAGAATACCGAAGCTGTTTAAATGATTTATAACGTTTTTGATGCGATTGAGCAGAAAACTTGCAGAAGAACATATTTCTTCT